GTCAGCATCTGCCCCTGCGAAGTTGGGTGTTGAACAGCATTTTAAATAAAACCATTAAACGCTTAGGAAGGTCAGTACATTTAAGTGACCTCAAAATCCTTTCGCGATATACAGAATCATGTAGTCCATCAAGCACACTGACAGATTACGCTCATAAGGTTTTGCCTCTTTAAAAAAAAAATTTTAAACCAATAGTTAGTCTTTGCAACCCTAGCATCCTTTCTTCTGCAGATAAATAATACCATTGTAAGTGCATCATGACAACACAGCACACCGTGTAAATATTGTCAGGTAACTGATTCAGCTCTTTTTCGGGAGATCTGAACTCTAAATACGAAGTAAATATTACATTTGGTTTGGTTGGTTGGTTTGTTGTTTAACAAATGAACTCAGTCAATGTTCCATTTTAATGCTTCTTTGAGCTACATTATAATACCTCGGAAGGTCGCTAAAGATTCCATACAGTAGTGATGCTCTGAATCATTTCGGATTAAACCCATATGGCGGTGATGTGTAATAATGGGACCAGACAATCCATTGATCAACAGCATGAGCATCGATCTATGCAATTGGGATACTATGACATGTGTCAACCATGTTAGAGAGCCTGACCACCCGATCTTGTTAGTCACCTCTTACAAGCATGGTTTGCTGAAGACTAGTTCTAACCCGGATCTTCATGGGTCGAAACATAACAGATTCATTCAAATACATTCAATAATCTTCTTCAGTTTTATTCCAAAAAAATTTCGTGGGAAATGCAATAAAAGTGTCTAAAAGGAAATACATGCATTTCACGTTCATTAAAATATATCAACAAGAATGCTTTTATTTATCAATATTCTCATCGGAATGAAATGAAGCATGCACTTGCATATCTTTGTGGAATGTCATACCGAACATATTTTTTAAAAACACCACAATTCATAATTGTTCATAACTGAGACAAAGTTTCAGATGAAAAATAAGATAGTCAGTATTCTGTGTTCCTCTGATCTTGTTTTCAATATGAAACATACAACATCTCATGAGAAGTAGATGATGACTCACTGAAAATCATAATTCAATAATATGTTATCACGTGATCACCTACTTTGATAAATATTTTGTGATTTTATTCAAATAAGAATCGAAGGAATGCCTCTTTATATGTTCCTTACTACAACATCAGATGAATTGCGAATCTCTCTGATCAACAATAATTCCATTTTGGTGGTAACAATGCAGATTTGAAATTTGCATGCAAACGTCTGCATTTCATTTCATCGTGTTCATGTACAAATTCAAACATTTGTATTAGGATGTATTTATGTAAATTTCATCCAATAAATGTTAACAAATGTTAACAAATTTGTCACTTTTGTAGAAATTCATTCAGAGTTTGCTGATTAAGCAACAAGATTTCTAGTCTAACTGTGCACTTAATTCATTAAATCTTTACAGCTGTCCATATATCAGAGTTGCTGGACAGTGTCTTACTCTGTACAGTCAGAGAGCCTCTAATTTGATCAAATAGTTCATTTATCAGGCAACCACCAACATGAACACGACATATAATTTCAGTTGGGAGGGGTTTGTAATAAAATATATAACATGCTTTACCTAAATAAAATTGTTCTAAAAAGGGTGTACTCCAAGGTGGCTGGTTTTGTCTTTGATTATTCTCTTTTATACTCTCATATCATGTCTCCATTCTATTATGATATATACCCTGGACTAGCCTGTTTGCTTCAGGTTCTGTCTAAGTGACACACGCTAAATTCAGATGGCTGTGATATAACAAGAAATATCCCCACAAAGTACTGGTCTGACTTTTGCATGTTGTGACCACTGAAACACCTTCTAGAACTTCCATAGCCATCTTAGCACTCAGAAAATGTGCCAGTTACAGATCATTTACCACTATTCTTCAAGTCGTGTAATTTGTTCTAATATATCAGAGGTTCTTTAAGATGAGGCTGTGATTAATATATATCTTTCCAAATCATGTTCAGTAAAGGCATTTAGATTAGTTCTTGATTTCAACTTAAGAATCAAGAGAAATTATGTCTGAAAACAGTGATAAGAGGTGGAGTGGGTGGCAGCACTTTGAAAATATAGATCTGGTGGTGAATCAGCCCAGGGTAATGAACATTGGAAAACCTAGGATTTGAGCAAGTACATTTTCTGCATTTTAAAAAATGCCATAAAAATACAATAAAAAATGCTGCATGCATGAAAGAAACCAAATATATTTCATGGAATTATTCACATTAACCACAAACACTTTTCATATTAAAATTTTAAATTATATTGTTTGCTACTCATGGAATGAAAGCTTGCTATTAAAATTATATAAAAGTAAATATAGCAAAATTAATAATTTAATTTGATCACACATTTAATGAAACTGAGCATAAGCCAAAGTAATGATGCTATTCATATTTTGTGAAGAGATGTGCGTAGGAAGATATCTATGAATAAGTTACTTTCATTCCCTTATGTCTTCCTATAAGTATATTATGAATATGTAATGAGGTAAGATATCCAAAACTAACTTTGCATGTTGTCAAAGAAGACCCACTCATCATAACCACATTATTGAAAGGATCTTCAAAGCAACATTTCCTTGAAATGGAATATATGATTATGCATAAGCTTGCAAAAACAGAAACACCCTTAAGTACTCTTTACATACTAAATATCACACACATTTTTGCACCAAAGTAACAATGACACCATTTCGAAAACCCTGAATATTTAAGAAATTGTCACTTGTAAATGATTAAAATATCCCATTTATTACAAATCATGGCTGTAATAAGATCATACAAGGCAATTGGTCATAAAACATTATTCCATTGAATTATGCTGTTTACATCTGCAGATGTAAACACAAGGGCAAAAGACAAAAAACATGTTGAAATTTCAGATTAGTTGAGTTGAGTTGAGTTAAGCATTCTGTCGCATTGGCATTGTTTCAGCCATATAGCGACGAGACCAAGCCTGTGTACATACACATTATTTTAGGTAGTAGACACAGTTTTATGGCAACAGAGTTCTACAGTCATTCTAAATATTTTGTCTACTATTAATAACGGTCAAAGTTACTGGACAATTTCTACAAAAACCTCAACAATTCCATTACAATCAAATCCTTTACCCCATTAAGATACCTCTCTGAGTGAAGATCTCAGAACACCGCCAGGTCGGTCAGAATTTTCTAATCAGCCAGTCAGTGCCAAGGTTTCTAATTTCCATATACAAGTGAAAGAAGCATTCAGACAAGCTTACCATTTCTGTATCTCAAAAGTGAATATAATTGGTCAGTTCTGAATGCAAATAAATAAAGCTGCACTGTAAAATTGTGGATATCTTTTGCAATCTTTGTTCTTAGCAAAGCAGCATGGTATCTACACCCAAAATGGAGTATGACTGAAAGAATATTTAAGTTCAATGTGAGGCTTAATTGTGAGTGAGTGAGTATCGTTTAACACCGCTTTTAGCAATATTCCAGCAATATCACGGCGAGGGACACCAGAAATGGGCTTCACACATTGTACCCATGTGGGAAATCGAACCCGGGTCTTCGGTGTGACGAGTCAACGCTTTAACCACTCAGCTACCCAACCGCAAACGATCAATCTGACCTTCCACAGAGTAGTGATGATATCCTGACACAGAGAGGCATCATACTGGAGTGAAAGATCTGATGAAACAAGATGCCCACTCAACACAATACTGAAGATTTAACCAGGCTATTTATGGAGCTGTCTGTTGACAATCACAGGACACAGAGGTGACTAAGAATGACTGGAACATGGTATCAAGCTAAGATGTAACTTGTATTCCCCTTCTGGTTACCACAACAGAGCCATCAAACCACATGATCTGGATGAAAATTAGTGAATGAGCAAAAACACAACCACCTGTTCTCAGTCTCTTATGCACAACATGTTCTACTCAAAAGAAATACAAAATCTCTTGCAGTACTAGGTAGTCTGTCATGGAATCTTTCACAACAGATTAATGATAATATTACAAATTATTCTTTAACTTGTTTTGTGTAGTGTATATGACTTGTTTTGGGTAGTCTATCAATGCACCAAAATATAAATATTTATGAGTATCAAAGTCTTAGTTGAGGCAAGCTCCTACTGAGGTAAACCTTTCACTTGAACCTATTGATCATATGCTGTATAACAATCCATGTTTCCATCTTTCCTGTACCCATCTCAGGCCCTTCTCCTGGATTTTACATGTCAATGTCATGTCAGTGATGCTTTAAGACAAGTCTTGAGCACATAATGTAGTCTGACATTCACAGAACATTACATTCATTTTCTCTACTGCTTTATTACAACAGACATTCCAATATAAGATACTGGCAATCAAAATATACAAATCATGTTTGACTGTTCAAGCATAAATTTTAAATTAATTGATGAATATTAACAACATTTAGCAGTCTGTGCCAAGATTTTAAAGTCTGCTGGCCATAATTTGTATTGGGGCATATTGCAGAATATTTTAGTCTTGGTATATAACTACCATAAACATTATTAACTAGAAGACATTTTAGGAGATTCTGTGTTCAGAGAAACAGCTAAGTCTTCTGACTGTTATCGGCAATATTTGAAGGAATCATTGTACTCATCGAAAATATCTTTCTTGTAAGAAACAAAATGCCTAAATTTTGACAATTAGAACGTATTACTGTGATTATCAGCAAAACTTCTTCAGCAACAGACTTAAAGTTATCATTTAAAAAGTCCTAAAACACATCAGGTCAATTTGTGTTTAGTTTTACGTTGCTTTTAGCAATATTCCAGCAATAGCACGGCAGGTGACACCAGAAATGGGCTCCACTCATTGTACCCAAAAGGGAATCGAACCGGGTCTCCAGTGTGACGAGCAGACGCTTTAACCTCTAGGCTACCCCACCCCCCTCAGATCAATGTGAAGTGAACACAAAATCATAAAACATAAGAATGGCAATGCATGCCCTATTTGTTTGTTGGTACTTACTTTTTATCATGATCCCATTAATGATGAAACAATAAAAATCTGAAATGACTTTCATGAAAAAATGCAATGTCAAACTTTCACCACTTTTTCTTTCACATCTACAGTTTCAGAAGCTAAATGAGTGTGATAATCCTTTGATGATGCTCCACATTAATTATGATTACCTTGCTATACAAAAATGATTTTTAAAAATATATTGAGATTATGTTTGTAGAGACAACAACATGAAATATGTGAAAACATGATTGACAAATGATCCAGTCATAACAAACTTCACAGGGACTTCGCAGTACAAATATATATATGCTTTATATACAAAACAAAAATAGCACTCAACATGCATGGACACGCAATACTACAACCAGACTGGACCTCTTCAATAAATATTTCCTAATTGATTCAAAGCCATTGCATATATGTATTAAAGAGCAAATTTCTTAGCATGTAGTAATAGACTTGAAGCATTTATGAAATGATGAAAGTGGAAAGGGTTTTGTCTTTCTATTTCAATATATATAATCATTAATGATATATACAGAGTGTACAATGTGATTTACATACTATTGATGCTTCACAGACATCAATTATTTATTTTGTTGCAATTTCTTTGTAAAGATTAGTCAGGGAAGTGATGAGAGTGATGTCCCTTTGATCTTGTCCTAGTTCTTCTTGGGTGTCTCCCTGAGAGTGATCTCCCCTTGTTGTGCACCAATCAGCAAAACTGGATGTACTTTGTGGTGAGTGATCATGCCCAGCACATCTTTGAATGTCTGTGGATTAAAACAGACAAGAATGAAATTATTTGTCAAAAAATTGACCTTCAGAATCAGTCAGTGAATTCTCAGGAATTCTGAGCTGAAATATAATTCATTCTTCAAGACATGCTGGACTTAGCTATAAAATGTAATGTGAACCAGATTTTTTCGTCTCTTCCATATTTTCTTGAGCATAGACTAGACCCAAGTATAATGCACAAAGGTTAAACAAAAAGTCCAGATATTAAATAGACACTTTTAAAACAAGACTGTGATTACCTTATTATACTCAGCATATAATTTCTGATATTTTGACATGGTATTTCCATTGCTACATGCTAACAGTAATGACTGTTGGTTTGGGATAAAAACATCAAAATCATAATGCACATCTCCCCCTACACAGCTGTGTTTGGGGGGGAAAAAGTGCACACTTCATCAAGGAAATATGGTACCTCCATTCAGTTGCCTGTGAGACGGTCCCTATAATCCTCTGTTATTAACCAGTCAACATGCTTCTTTGCGTCAGAATTCGTCCCGTTATATTATTGTGCATGTTTGAACTTGTTCGCTGCTGATTGCTATTTCCGGCTCAAATACACACGGTAATCTTAATCTTAATTAATTTATAGAGCAAACACTGTAATTAAAAGTACACAATGCTAGGATATATTTCTTTGGATTAATTAATGGTATTCTGTATTATATTTTACTGATGACTGCGTCAGAATATGTCCCATTATATTATTGTGCATGTTTGAACTTGATTGCCGGGAAACATGTGCATAGCTGATTGCTACTTCGGCTCAGATACGCACGGTAATCTTAATCCCTGCAAATAATACAATGCCCAGCAAAACAACTTACCGGTAGAACTTAAAAGGTAAATAATCTTGTCTAGTGATGTTTAATTGCAAATTTGGCGTCTCTACTGACAAAGTCATCTTCTGTTGTTTGTTCACCACGAAGTGATCTGATGTTGTTTTCTTACCCTGGAAAAAGTTTGTGGCGTAGCCCATGGAAAAAGGCGACCCCCTTCTACAGACTGCTTTTTTTGGTCCTCAAAATTCGGCTTATAGACGGTAATATACGGTACATTACATAATAGAAGACACTATTCCAGAACATCCCATCGTATGAAACTAATAATAATTTTACTTACAATTTCATTTGGCTTGGCCTCCCCAAGTGCAAAGCGTTTGTCTTCTCGAAGTCGAACTTTGAGGTTGTTGACTCTGTCCTCAAACAGCACCTGCATTGTGTATGGTTGATTTGGGTCCTTATCACTTTTCCTCACCAAGTACGTCCCATCCTGGCAATAGATGAACAGATAACACAGGGTTTTACCTTGACTCACAAAAGTGGGGGTCCGTGGAACACCATTAATAAATTATTCAGGTCTTTACCAATACAATAATATGAGCATCTTGTAAAGTATTGAAATGGTGTAGTGTAGTGTAGAGCAGTGTGCGAAATAGTTTCCAAATTTTGCTAGCCATTTGGGCTAGGTATGCCTGAAAGTTACTAGCCCGCAAAATAATTCACAAGCCTGAAATTTGAATGTAGACACGGGTTTCATCATTAAGCTGTTGATATGATGAACATTTTTATTAGGCCATAATCTTGCATGATTTAAAAGTGTGTTATAACTTAACAAGTCGGAGAGAGTGATATATTTAGAAAATGACCCCATGAAAAGTCTCTAGCCAGTCGGGGCCAGTAACTGTGGAGATTTACTGGCCCGATTGGATTTTTACTAGCCACGGGCTAGCGGGCCAGTGACTATTTCGAACACTGGTGTACAGTATGTTCAGATAATTACTTCAGAGCTTTGAATGAATCAGTCGTCATGTGTGTTGTATCAGCAGAGTACTGCAAATATGCAAGTACTGGAAGTAGACTTACTGCTAATAGTATTGTGCGCGAGCTTTGATGACATCATCGCTTATGAGGTCACTTCTGCTAGTCAACAAACATGGCCACTGCCTGTATATTCAAGGTCATATAAAACTATCAACTGCCAACCCTGGCTCCATCATCATTCTAACAATGTGGACAATGGTCACTACTGATGGATAAAATAACAGACACACATACTAACGCTATGAGCATTCACCTAGTGAATGGAGTTTAGCGCATTATAAATGCACTGTATTATTATTAGATACTACTCTTGATGCTCTGTCGGTACATTTTCCGTATTTTTGTGCGTCTCTTCGGATGCAGTATTTTGGGTTTTCTGTGTCCATTCTCTACACTTGTGTATACCTGACCCACTAATGTGTTATATAAACCTGATTACATCACTGTTATGGTCATGTTTTAATGAACTGTAAATGCATGATACTGGTTTAGATCAATGAGTTAATTGATGTCACTGGGCAGGATGTGCTCACCTCTTTCAAACAATATTTATTTATTTCAGATATATATGAAATTGCTCAGCAGGCATATAAAAACCTATATACAGACCTGATTATACAACACGTTTTTATTAATAAAAACCTTTTTTTAATTCTGGTGAGCGAGTGTGTAAAGAATAAAAACAAGTTTTCATCCATAAAAATGTGTCATGTATTCATGTCAACTTCTAAATGCCTTTCAAGAATTTTAAATACAGACCTCTCCCTTACAAATTAATAATCATAAATAACACAGCATTACAATCCTGACAATTAGAAAATTTAACAAAATTCTGTAATTGAAAAATTATAATTACAAAACATTAATTAATCTTTTTGTGGAGGTAATATGGTTATGTACAGAATTAATCATTTGAATATGAGCTTGTAGATTAGTAACTTCATTTAATTTTGATCTTAAAGCCCTTGACGTAACAGTAACATATACATGTATGTTTCAGACCAGTTGGGAACCGTTGGACAAGGAATTATCAGATTCATGATGAAAAAGTAATTGTTCCATAAAATACAGAGAAATATTTTCTTGAAAAATAATCTGTTTTCTTCATCAGTTACGCTGCTTCTTTCAGAGACAGGGGCGGTGGGCTAGCCTAATGGTTAAAGAGTCCAATCGTCATGCCGAATTCCCAACATGGGTACAATGTGTGAAGCCCATTTCTGGTGTCCCTGCCCTGATAATGCTGGAATATTGCTAAAAGCGGTGTAAAACCATACGCACTCACTCACTCTTTCAGAGAAAAAAACTGTTTCTTTAAGCAGCTAATGTAAACGTATCCTGCCCTTGGCTAACCCCATTTATCCTGTGTGGAGAATCTGGGTTTCACTTACCATTCCTACGCTTTTAAGTCGTGCGTTGCCATCTGTACGATTTATCTTCCCATGATACCAGGCGTACTTCGACAACGGATCCTGCGAACATCATCATACATGGTGTAATTATCGTCAATCATCACCAGAAATTATCTAAATTGACAACAGTGTTTTATAACTATCATGTCCTCGGCCCTATTTTCGAAAGGATCCTAGCCCAAGGATATCCTAACTTTGATCCTTGGGTCTAGGATAGGTGTCCTACCTTATTCTCGAAAAGTATAGAGAGCTAGAATATCCTAACTTAGGACAAATACTAAGATAGGTTCTGACTTATCCTAAATAAATCCTAGACGAAAACAACATGGTAAGGTACTTGTTTGTTCATGCAGTGTTTGGGGGTAAAATGTCAATAGGAAGAATGCTGAAAGGGTATATTACAGGACTGCACCACTCAATTTAATCGACGATGTGCAGTTAGCGAATCGGTACCGTCTGTCCACCTCATCAACTAGACAATCAATCTCTTTCCTTGTCCAGTTGAATTTTCTTGGTTTCTTTTCTATGGTTGCCATCTTGCTTGAACTTGACATTTTGACGTCTATTTTGGGGATTTCCCAAAAAGCTGTGAGGTCATATAGGCATTCCGTTCACTTTTCTGTCTCACCGACTAAAGAGTTCGCTATCCTAGCTAGGATTGGTAGCTCAAGTTAGGACAAGGATAGGACTGTTTCAAGAATGGGTCTTATCCTAACAGTAGGATGTCCTAACTCCTGTCCTAACTGGTTAGGATCTGTCTTATGTGATATATATCCTACTCTTAGGTAGGCATTTTCCTACTCTTGAGTAGGCACTGTGATATATATCTTATTCTTAAGTGCCATTATCCTACTCTTCAGTAGGCACTGTGATATATATCTTATTCTTAAGTGCCATTATCCTACTCTTCAGTAGGCACTGTGATATATATCTTATTCTTAAGTGCCATTATCCTACTCTTCAGTAGGCACTGTGATATATATCTTATTCTTAAGTGCCATTATCCTACTCTTCAGTAGGCACTGTGATATATATCTTATTCTTAAGTGGCCATTATCCTACTCTTCAGTAGGCACTGTGATATATATCTTATTCTTAAGTGCCATTATCCTACTCTTCAGTAGGCACTCTTATTCTTAAGTGCCATTATCCTACTCTTCAGTAGGCACTGTGATATATATCTTATTCTTAAGTGCCATTATCCTACTCTTCAGTAGGCACTGTGATTATCCTACTCTTCAGTAGGCACTGTGATATATATCTTATTCTTATTAAGTATCCTACTCTTAAGTAGGTATTATCCTACTCTTCAGTAGGCACTGTGAGATATATCTTATTCTTAAGTGCCATTATCCTACTCTTCAGTAGGCACTGTGATATGTATCCTACTCTTAAGTAGGCATTATCCTACTCTTCAGTAGGCACGGTGATATATATCTTATTCTTAAGTGCCATTATCCTACTCTTTAGTAGGCACTGTGATATGTATCCTACTCTTAAGTAGGCATTATCCTACTCTTCAGTTGGCACTGTGATATATATCCTATTCTTATTAAGTATCCTACTCTTAAGTAGGTATTATCCTACTCTTCAGTAGGCACTGTGATATGTATCCTATTGAGTAGGCATTGTGATAAATCAATGTGTAATACATCCAGGAGACTCACCAGATCAGCAGTCTGTGCATCATCATATATTTCCTCATCATCGTCCTCGTACGTAGGGAGGGACACGACCTCCACTGTAGGTGTCACTGTAGGTATCGACGGGGGCAGCTGTAAAAATACTTCCAGATGAAACTCTCGCAATGAATACAAAACAAGTGACACTGTTTTATCAACTCTGTGTTAAAATTGTGATTTCAGAAATCTGACACAAACAAAGCCTCCTGTTCCAGTAATTAGTGTGTCTCAAACAATTATTCATCTATGTAAAGTCAATGCCTCAATTCTCTTGATACACGTCGTAAAAGTTATAAATAATTTACTAACAAAACTACACTATGAATGATTTGTGAAAATATTAGAGACATCAATATTAAAGTTGTAGTATGGCTGCTGCCAATTATGTCTTGTCCAGCCGAACCAGTAACTGAAACCATCAATTAATATAACAAAAATTAAATCTTATAATAATCTACCAGTTCACAATAGATACCTAATTTGACACACTAATCACCGAACAGTAAACAGCCAATATTTTTTTTAAAATAAGATAAAAAGATACTTGCTCACATGTAACCACATACCAAAAGAAATTAGAAAATAAAAAAAAACATTAATAATTTTGAAATACCTGAGCTAAAATTACTTTTCCCATTATTTTAGAGGAAAATAAATATATAGTTTTAATGGCACCACACCTCAAATATCAAAATGGTACCTAATGTACCCTGTATGCTTAATATATGGAATACAGTAAAATTCTTCTCAACTATAAACAATATAACAGTTTGTATGGAAGTATATTCAAGCAAATAAGCAAGTTGTGACAAAGCATTAAAGACGTTGTTACAGATAAAAGTGCCATGTACTCAAGCAGGAAAGGGTTATAAAGCCATGCAGGACAATCTGAAGACGTCACCATATCACATAAATACCAGTTAGTCACCATCAGCAAGGGGTTAAATGCAAAAAATCCTTCCCACAAAAAACAGTTGACTCTCATGCTTAACAAACCACAATTACCTCTTAAGCTAAAATGTTCTCATTCCATGCTGCGGTAATGATAAACATATGGGTTAACATCGGTTTGAAGTTACTTGTATTTTAGCACCAGTGGCCTGTTTAAATTGAAAGGGCAGATCAAGTATGCTCCTGGTGCTTTAAGTGCTTACTTGAAACCTTTGTGAAGGGCACTAACCTGTGACAATGTTTATAATAAGTAACTACATGATCACATACCAGACACATGGTGATGATTTACAATTTAAATCTTTATTTCAGAAATGAAATAAGTAAAACCATCGTCATTAATCACAATGAAAAGTATGGGGACGAAGTGTCAAAATACAACTGTGTATTATCTAACCCTGGATAGGACATTCACTGAGTTCAGTGATGAGTCAAAATTATCATTCCAGCTTTAATCAACAATATCAAGAGTGTACGTCTGTATATCTCTTAGATATCACAGTGGCGAAGTGATATAAAATACATATATGTTGCATATGTACATATATTCTAAAAAAAACTGAGACAATTTATTCACAATTTATTTTGTTCCAGTTTTATGACCATATTTAAAATAATTCAAAATTTGAATCATAAGGCTACTGAATATGTTCCAAGAGACATTTATTCTAATAAAAACATAGATCTTTAACATCAGTATGAAACCTCTCCTGTTAAGATCTGATTTTATTTGTTTGTTTGTTTGTTTGTTTGTTTGTTTGTTTGTTTGTTTGTTTGTTTGTTTGTTTGTTGTTTAATGCCACTCAGCAATGTTCCAGCTATATGGCGGAGGTCTGTAAATAATCGAGTCTGGACCAGACAATCCAGTGGTCAACAGCATGAGCATTGATCTATGCAACTGGGATACGATGACATGTGTCAACCAAGTCAGCAAGTCTGATCTACCGTTCGTGTCAGTCACCTCTTACGACAAGCATGGGTTGCTGAAACCAATTCTAACCCGGATCTTCACAGGTGGGTTAAGATCTGAAGATACATTGCAAGGATGCTTCAGTCAGTAGATTTAACCCAGCATTCAGCTTACCAGAATGTTTGTTATAGTTATATGACTAAGATTATCATATTTTATTATGTTGAAAATCAGTTCATACTCATACACATATAGTTTCTCGCAAAAAGACAGAATACTACGTGCCTAACAACTATCTAGAAGTGTGGAAATTTAACACTTTGGCAAAAACAAAAAGGTTTTGTGAATAGTTTGCAGGAAACAAGCTCCAAATGTCAGCAGAAGTTTACGACAAATATATCATCTAGTCAAGGTAGAAAATATATAACACTTGCTGCACTAATCTCACCTTTTGTGCCAGTGAAGTAGGCATAATCTTTAATAAGAAAATATAGATCCAGTAGGTACTATTTGGCCCAAGAATTAGAAAATACTTGCAAAAATGAAAGATGACATATATGTGTAAGTGAGTGAGGTTGGTTTAACGCCACTTTTAACAATATTCCAGTTACATCATGGCATGTCAGTCTCACATTGGATTATCGATTCCGGTCTCAGACATTTACCATTTTTGCGAAATCCATGTGAACGGTAGAGAGCTGACAAACCTAGGAACATGATGAATCCAACTAAGATTTGAACCCACAATCATAGGATTCTGCTGTGCCGAAGGGAGGCAACTCTGCATGTCTGTTTACAGAACCTTAAATGATCAAGTGATGTATGAACCACTGACATACATGGATGTGATTGTTATTGAATAAGTAATAATTAATGTTTTACTCAGCAACAAAAATAGAAAGTGTTAATAATGTGAAATGAATTTTAATGCCAAAGAAGTGCATTTTGTTGTGAGAAATTAATATGAGTAATTGTGTATTTGTCACGCCACACTTCTCATATAGATCATACCGGTTCTTTTGCCTCAGGAGTCACTGGCTCGGGAGGTCGCGGGGGAAGGGGGGGTCCGCTATCATTTTTGGGTTCAACCGTTTCTTCCTTAACCTTTTCTTCCTTAACCTTTTCGTCCTTATTTGACATTCCTTTTGTGGGTTTTAACTTAGATTTGAGGTCTGAAATTGATCAATATCTGTTCATCAAGTGTGATAACTGTCGATGTAGCTGAACACGTACATTTCAACAAGTCTGAAATAGACATCAATATGCAAACATGCAGGATAATCACATAAAGCAACAATTGTGTCATCGACATGCAGGGGTTGTGACAGGCTGAAATGAACAAGGGATTAAACACATCGGTTGGGTTTAAAAGCTGAAATGGCTTTACATGCGGAACAGCTCACAAGGCAAGTAGGGGCAAGGGAGGGGCATTTTAAGCTCACAGATTCTACATTTCAACATACCCTGGTCAAAGCTTTATCAGGCAATAGCAATATTTCTATCCAATAAATCAACAGCTAAAGAAATGTGTCCTTTGTTATATTTTGCAAATTTCAGCCTTGTCATTACATACTTGTTAAACAAATTCAATTAATTAAATTTTCTTAATTACATTTCTAAATTTCCAATGTATTTGTCTGTATAATTCCAAAAACGGAATAATTTTAAAGGTAACTACATATCAATAACTTCTTCTGTATATTGTTTTATGTAAAAATATGGGAAAATTCCATTTTTAATATTTTCAATTAAATTTTTTTAATATCTTAATTAGACTTGATGACAACATGTCATCATTAGATCACTATTATCAGTATAAATTATTGTTTAAAATGTTCAGGTGCTGGATCGAAAGTTGAACAAAATATTTTCTATTTTTTTCTGGATTCCACCTCATAGGTCACATTCGTGGTGCATACATCTTTGTATGAGTGTAATGTCAATCTGTGACACGCACACTAAAAAGTGAGTGAGTATGGTTTTACGCCACTTTGAGCAATATTCCTGCAAATATCACAGCAGGGGACACCAGGAATGGGCTTCACACATTGTACCCATGTGGGGAATCCAACCCGGGTTTTCAGCATTGGAGCGAACGCTTTAACCACTAGGTTATGTGACCATCCAATACACTGTATAAAGTGAATTGAAACAAAGGAGTCTTTCTAGTGGTTGAAAAGTCGCAAAAATATTGGAATTGTCTGCATAAATAATGTTTTCTTACATAAATAATAAATGCATTACATAAGGATCCATGCCTGAATAGTCTGAATCAGACGTTTATAACCTACTAATCTATCCTCATAATAAAAATAATGTAGGGATACTTGAGCATGTTAAAAAGTGTGGCCACAAAAAGTGTCATTCTGACTTTATGGAGGGTAAGGTTTATAAGCTAACCCAAGGACAAAGCTGTTTCATAATGCCTTCATTATCTGAGAGTACCAAAAATGTTTCAATATATTTTTGAGATACCTAAATCAGTTACGTCAGTTCACCCAAAGCAAACTGAAGTGTGGGGCCTTCATCAGATCTCCATGCAGAGAGTGAAAAATCTGATTTAATAAATGTATTTTAAAATACAATTAACATACAAAGTATTGGGGTTTTTTAAATCTCAACAGTGCCTCTTCAACATAATTTGAGAATCTCTGATGTTTGTATTTGTTATGTCATCTATTATATTTTCTAAATTGTACTCATAAGTCCCAGCATATCATACAGGTGCAGTTTGTTAGTTTAAGTTAAGCAGTACCATGCCCATCTTCCATTCAAGGTCATTCACATAGAGTTATCTCCCTTTGATTGTTTTACCAAAACTGGGAATTTGAATTACACTGAAAAGACGATTCATATAGTTGTCATTATATCCTAAAATCATTGCTTTTATACTCCATATACTTTCAGTTGGATATTTCATTCAGATTCAAATGATGCAATGTTTTCCAAATATCATGTCAAGCAAAAACAGCATTCAATTTCCCCCCAGTCTAAGGAAGATAACTTTAAAGGGGAACAACTAATTTGAACATTTAGACTCGAACCTTCGGAAGAATGACAGTCTTCACCCCACTTTCTTCTTTATCTTTCGTTTTAGCGGGCGGTTTTGGTTTGGATGGAAGGTCTGGCCTTGAATTCATATCGCTAACCAATGACTTAACGCCTCCAAACCTGTTGGTAATGTTGGAAACAGAAGAGCTTTTCTCTTCTTTTTTCATTTCAGGTAGTTTGGGAATTTCGGGTTTGGGTTTGAGGGGTTTTAATACAGGGACTGGACTCTTGTTATTATTTGAATCTTCTGATCTGCTCCCATCTGAAATAGACACCATGTGCATTGCATAAAATAGACACCATGTACATATACATGAAATAAACACCATGTACAGTTACATGGAATAGACAACATGTACATATACATGAAATAGACACCATGTACATATACATCAAATAGACATGACATACATACACATGACATAGACACCATGTTATTGTCATGAAATAGACATGTCTATGTAACATGACAATAACACATGTGATCTGACAGGTTAGTTTGTTGCTGAACACTGCACTCAGCAATATTTCAGCTATGCAACCGCAATCTCCAAATAATCAAGTCTGGAACTGACAATCAAGTGATTAATATCATGAGCATGAATCTTCACAATTGGGATACAATGACAAGCACCAACCAAGTCAGCGAGCCTGACCCATCCATCTTGTAAATCGCCTCTTACGACAAGCATGGGTTGCTGAAGATCAATTCTAACCCGGATCTTCATGGTTCACACTGACATGATGAAACCAAGGTAACCCAATCTCTGAATCACCTCTAACAACAAGCATTGATTGCTGGGAATCAATTCAGATGCAGAATCACCATAAAGATCTACATTACATTCTTAGCATGAAAAGTCATCATTACAACAATACTCACCCGAAAACATACTTGTTTTATCTTTTGATTTTTCATCTTGGTTTTTCTCATTTTTCTTGTTCTTGTCGTCCACCGTTCTATCGTCCGAGACCTTCCTCAGCTTCCCAATAGCACCTTGCAGGGCAGACAGTCCGATCTGTGGCACGAATGGAGAATTGGCAGCAACCTTTTTCTCCTTCTTCTCGTCATGTGCCTTCCTTGGGGGTGGTTTGATGACCTTGGCCCGGTTTGCATTTGGCGGAGGTGGAGGTGGGGGAACACCTGAAGTACATGACATATGCTGGTGAATCACTGACTGCACCATTCAGCTGCATCCAGGTAATGATTTGTTAAATATCCGGTTTATCACTATTTTGACCTGAGTGTGTTAATGGTGAGTGAGTGAGTGAGCCGCTTTTAGCAATATTCCAGCAATATCACGACAGGGAACACCAGTAAAGGACTGTAAGAAGGGTGATAACTGGATCAGATGTTGAAGTTACACTGGACAAGGCCAGGTCAGGTTGGATGTGTCTGGATAAGTCTGGATAAGCTTAGATAAGTCAAATGTGCCCAGACAGAAGAGTAGGTCGCCTGTATAGTCATGATACTCACCATCATCTTCTTCTTGGTATAAATTCTGAAAAATAGGAAATCACAGTTACAGTCTACTTTTGTCTCTATTCCTATATCTTTATCATAAACAAAACATTTAGTTTTTACCATTGTAGATCTGTATCACAAACAATTTAGCGAAGGAAATTGTCTTACCTGGTCATCGTCATCTGGGCCGTCATAAATATCATCTGGAACAAGACAGAATGCTGGCATTGATAAACTGACATTTTCAACAAGCTTACGGGAAGAGATTACATTTCCAAGACTCCACTTGTTTAATCTGCATAAATAAAACTATCGGTATCATTGTTCGGCAATTTTGTCTGCACCATAATAGGAAATAACAAACAAGTTGAAAGTACTTACTAACTGAACATAACAAATATGTTCTTACTAACATAATCGCTTGACCCATGTATGTGCTTCCTGATAATTCCACTGACATGACAACTCATTTCTGTCGGAAAGACATTTAGCATGACAGAAGATTGGCATATACTGTCAAAGAAAATACTATGCGATATGGAAAGAAATGTTATTTAACACCAAAGAAGAAAAAAATTATTCAGTCAGTGGGAAATGTTATATGTTTTGGAAAACAAAAAATGTTTTGACCTGAGAAACAAATGTCCCTCTACTTGAAAGAATAAATGCCTTTGTAGAGACCAAAAAAGAAAATCAGTTAGGTCACATCTTACTGGCAAACAAGGATAAGTTGGACCGGCGCAGAGAATGCGTTTATGAGAAGTAGGCGGTGCACGGCAATGAGCAAACCCATTTGGTTTGTGAAAGGTAGAGTAGATGTAGGCTAGTGCACGTGCAGTGCATGACGATGAAATTGATTCCACAGCGTAGCTGCACATATAAGACTCTCACGTGGTCGGTGTAGCACTACACTTGATCGCGGACACTGGGGCCCCTTCACTCACAATGGCAGGCGCCAGTGGGCAGCACTCACACATGCTAATACAGGTCAGTTGTCAGGTCAGTGCTCAACTTATCCTTGTTTGCCAGTAGTTTTACTTGCTTCATGATTCAGCCAAATTAAGTACCCCCTGGTACCCCTTCTTTCAACCTGTCAATAAGCTCAATGCATACTGAACCAAAAACATATTTTCTACACAAGGAAACACTATTCATAATATTGCAGCCATGTTTAATCAACATTTGCATCGGTATCTAATAAACAAAGAAGAAACTTTAAGAAAGCCAATTTTCTCACAGTGGATGAGAACCAGGGCTCCAGATAAGGGCCGTATCGGCGGATATGTACGGATATAACATAAACACGATACGGTAGGAAACAATTTTAAAAACGTAGCAGATACGGACCACAGCAATGGTGTACGGTCTTAGAATCATTTACAGACGTATTTATCTGAAAAAGTATTGTTTTATTGTTTACTGACCTGTTTACACAAGAGTAGCAATGTTGTGGTGCATATATGAAACGAAACACAAGATTACTGATACGCCATTAAATTCCATTCAGTACTCTAAATGTACTCTTATTGTTTTCCAGTACTCCTATATTGAAAAAATAACGAGTGCGTACTCCTGATCATGAAAAATTATCTGGAGCCCTGAGAACACTAAAATAACAATTTGTAATCCAAAACTTCTGTAGCCTCAGTGCAAGGCATCAGTATCAATATATGATGAAGGACAGGAACCAGGATGAGTCTTACCTTCAATAGGAGGTGCTGGAAGTGGAAGATCCTGTTCAAAAACAAAAATATATCTGAAGACTTTACCTTCTTATGATTACACAAAGCCATTTAGAATGCGGTCAAATGTAACCTGTGTTATATTTTGGATTACACTTGTTGAGTTGAGTACAGATACTGAGAATGGGTAATCCCAAATATGATGTGAAATTTGAAATTTTATTTACAAGTGTTGATATTCTATAGATTATCTAACATCCATCTTCCAATCATGTTAGTTTCAAAACAGTAATAAACTTGTCTTGACTGTAAATAGTACAGTTAATCAGCTTCAGTGACAGATTACTGATGTCATTTTATTGTGACACTGTGATTGAGATGGCTTTTGCACTGCTTTTAGCAATATTCCAGCAATATCGCAGTGGGGGACACCAGAAATGGGCTTCCCACATTTTACCCATGTTGGGAATCGAACCCATGTCTGTTACATGTCAAGACTGATTGACTGACTGAGTTTGGTTTTACGCCGCTTTTAGCAATATTCCAGCAACATCACGGCGGGGGACACCAGAAATGGGCTTCACACATTGTACCCATGTACATGTCAAGAACAGTCTTTAACCCAGTATCACCTGGTCCATTAAGCCTCCTTCGTAAGGCAAGAAATAGGTTGCTGGGAGCAATTCTAACCCATTCTAACTTCCTTCCCAGGGTTTTATGCAATGCACAAATATAGAACATTCTAAGGCCACGTCACGGCCCCTGATCACTGAACTTGATCCATTAAGTCTCCTTAAGTCAAGAAATAGGTTGCTGGGGGTGCTTCTAACCCATTCTAACTTATGCATATTTTTGTGAGAGTCAGAAAGGTTGTGAGAGTCAGAATGGTTGTGAGAGTACATAAAGCCTTCCTTCAGGGGAGGAGCACTCACCTCATGTTTTGTGGCCCTGGGGGGTGGAGGCAGTGGCTGTGATCCTCGTCTGTTCCCCATGGGAGGAAGGGGTGGTGCTTTATTACCAGGTTTCTTCGGGAAGTTACTGGGAGGAGGTGGGGGTGGATTATCCTCGTCAGGGTCCTAAATGATAGGGGTCAAACTTCATCAGCCAACATAGTGTGTATACATGTATGAATGTATATTTTGAGGTCATTCTGGTCAATATTCCAGCTGTATGACGGCAGCCTGTTGACTCAGTCTGGACTAGATGATCCAGTGATGGAAGTTATGACAAACAATCTACATATTCAAGGTATGATGACATAATCAACAGTCACCAAGCCTGACCATCTGATACCTTCTGGTTTGGATCTGTTCAAAATAGTCAGCAAAATAACAGCTATATCACCCGCACAAAACAGCAATATTACAGCTATATCACCCGCACAAAACAGCAATATTACAGCTATATCACCCGCACAAAACAAATATTACAGCAATATTACAGCTATATCACACACACAAAACAGCAATATTACAGCTATATCACACACACAAAACAAAACAGCAATATTACAGCTATATCACACACACAAAACAGCAATATTACAGCTATATCACACACACAAAACAGCAATATTACAGCTATATCACACACACAAAACAGCAATATTACAGCTATATCACCCACACAAAACAGCAATATTACAGCTATATCAACCGCACAAAACAGTCAACAATGTTACATCTACGCTGCTAGTTCCATACAGGTACTGTTCACACAAACAAGCTAATAAAAGCCTCACCGCGTACACTTCATCTGTTCCTACTTCCTCAAACTCATCATAAATCTGAAAAAGACCAAATTCTCTTTTGTTTACAACACATAAATGACCAACAACATAGTTATGCCACAAAACAAACAAACACGGGGATTCAAACCCAGGTCTTTGGCGAACAAGCGAGCGCTGTAACCATTAGGCTACCCCACCGCCCCTGTTTCATGTAAAGAGTACGTTCTACTCAGTAACCACTTGTATGACAGTGTAATTTTACGCCACTTTTAGCAATATTCACGCTATATCACATGGCACACCATAAATGGCTTCACATTTAGTACACAATTGGGGAATCAAACCCTGGTTTTCGGCGTGATGCTCGAACACTTCAGCCACTAGGCTACCCCAATAACGACAAACAACGAGACAATACCTCTCCCTGTTCTTCATGCTTGGACGGGTTGTATGGGCTAATTTCTGGAGCTGCCTCCAAATCAAATTCATCATAAAGATCCTGTGATTCCTGAAAAAATACATGTCATATAGAATTCCTTCACATAACAATCACCCTAAGCCCTATGGGGACAAATCTGAGACATAAAAATTCTGTTTCCTAAAATCGCTTGAGTTCCAAAACAAGACTTTACAGGGCAATGTTAATTCAACCAACTTGATTTTCCTCACGATAAATCATTTGTTTCAAAAACATCATCTAGTACGAACAATACAGACTGACATTAAAATTATCATTTTAAAATGGAAAATGAACCACACATAGTTTATATAAAACTGTTTACAAACATGAATAAAAACATGAGCACCGATCCATCTACGGTGAGTGAGTGAGGTACGTCTGACACCATAATAAACAGTTTCCTAGTTTCCGGTATCCGGTAGTTTCCATGTCAGACTAAAGTAAGAGGACAGCTCAATTCGATGAACCGACACCCGTGCTTCAAACAGTTCAAACTTACCACTGAGGTATTTGGTAAGATAAATACGTTGTTCACTGGTCCCTCAGGGCCCATGGGTTGATGTACCCTCGATGTTTCTTTATGTTCCCCTATAAACAAACATCGAGGGTACATCAACCCATGTCCCCCCTCGAGACCAGTTAACAACTTATAATGCCTAATTGGGGTGTCTGAAGGATTCGAACCCACTTTCTGGCCTATCCATCGTCAACATGGTGGCTACAATTATTCACACCATAGATGCTTGTAGTCCATTTAGTCATCTCTTACACCAGGCACAGATACATCCTTCGGATTGTGGATCAGCAGGGTGTTATCACAACTGACCAATGATTGGCACCAAGTCAGCAGTAAATATTCCAGAAAAATTACCGCTAATTACCCAATTCATGTTATACAAATATATATAAAGTTACGACATGAAGGTTATTTGCGTTTTATTGTCCAATTTGAGCAAAATACTGATTTTCAGGTTTGCATGTTTTTGACTCTTGGTGAAATCCTTTAAAAAACTACATCCCCAAATGAGTTGAAATGAGATAACAGGTAATACATCAATCAGATAGAAGGTTATCATGTCACAATCCCACTCTTCCAAACTGAACTAATATTTAGCCACAATAATAAAATGTTTAAAAACATACATCTAAAAAATACAAGATTGAAATGGAGCCCTAGACATAAGGCAATCTGGACTTGATAGACCATTCTAGACTTAGATTAGATTCATTTTTAAGCTATTCTGCAGAGACCGAGAGATCCACTTACCCAGCCTTTTCCCATCACAAACCCCACCCAAAGGAACATATAAAACTGCCACTGGGATAGGAGATTTTATTGATAACTAGCCTTTTTAAAGTATTAATATAATATTACTAGCCTGGGGTAAAACAAGCAGAGGCTATTAAGGTTACAGAAGTTATTAACTGGTATACAGCCAAGCAAACGTCGATCTTTGGGGCACTGTTGCTCATCTAAGTGTTTAGACAATTACATCATAACAGATTACTGTGTCTGAAACGTCAATCTAAACATGGAAGAAATAGAACTCACTTTTCTACATGATCTGGCACAGACATTGATCACCTAACTACACAATGATTACAAAAAGGCAAAACAAAATTATTTTTTTATATAGTTATCATACTTTAGATCACAACAACCAACTCTAAATTGTGTATGTTGGAATAAGAAACATGAAATTTCAGTTTCATGAATCCCCAGCTAAAACAATAAAAAACACACAATGATACTCAATGTGCCAGACTCAAAGGGAAAAAAAAATATTTGTGACTGGATTAGTAAAGTAACATTTCCAATATGGCCGACATACAGGCCATCTTAAGCTTCAGTTACATTATGCAGTCTGTCAGATGCAAGTGATGCCAGATTCTACACACATCACATATGTTATGTCTATTAACGTTCACAAAAATACATAAATGTAAGTTAAAAGGACAAAACAATACACATACTTTCAATATGGACGCAATAGCGGCCATGTTTGAATCTTTATAAGGATTCAGCATACAACACTTTATAGACATCATGATTTGGATTACGTCACCATTTTACCTTCAGATGTAAAACATTTAAAAGGAAGCAGTGTAACTGATGGACAATGGACAACAGATGGCAAACAAGCTGACATAAGCTAAAACAATACAGTCATAGACCACTGAAGCTCACCTGAAATATCTGAAAGACTGAGTTTAGTTTTACGCGGCACTCAGCAATATTCCAGCCATATGGCTGCAGTCTGTAAATAATTAAGCTTCAACCAGACAATCCAGTGATCAACAGCATGAGCATCAATCTATGTAATTGGGATAGTATGACATGCGTCAACCAAGTCAGTGAGTCTGATCAACCGATCCTGTTAGTCGCCTCTCACAACAAACATGGGTTACTGAAGATCAATTCAAACCCAGATCTTCACGGGTTGAAATATGTGGATTAATGTCTGGGATATATCATATAAAAAAACAATCAGATTTCTGTGATCAGTTTTAGATACAACACAGCTGGGATAATTCATACAAAATTTCAGCTGTAAAGCCTTTGTAGTTTAGAACAGTAATGCCAGGAAAAATCACTATGCAATGGTCAATGTTGGTAGACTGCTAAAAAGAAATCTACAGATATCAAAAACATATCATTTGATACTATGCATACCATGCTTATGGCTTATCAAATTTCATTATCAAACATTTTAAAATGTTTGACTAGTGGACAATTACACAGTTTCAATATGTCTGCCATGACATCCATATTTAAATTGGATCATAATTCTGTGAGCGTGTTTAAAGACACCGTAACTGATAACTTCCTTGTAAAATTTTCTTACAGTTATATAGGGTATAAATGTAAAATGATGCAAGATACACAACTCGCTATCTGATAACCCCACTTGACTTTGAGTCGGGTGGGCAAACAACGTTCACTGGAGAACAAGCAACAGATGGATGAGTAGAAAGCTGATCTGATACTGATGGAAAGTTAAGTATCAAATCTTGTGATTGCAGTGACTGTTGGTCTGCTGTGGGTTGACAAATAATAATAATAATAATAGCATATTTGTTACGCGCATATATCCATGCTAAAGCATGCTCAAAGCGCACAAGATAAAGATGAGATTAATGGTAAAGAGCTACAGTTCAAAGGCTATCTTGAACATGTGTGTTTTTAGATTGGATCTAAAAGAATTAAAGTCACAACAGCCTCTGAGGCTCTACGGGAGACTGTTCCAGGCTATAGATCCTGCATGGACAAAGGACCTCTTTCCATACATCACTGTCTTTACCTTGGGAACAACAAGCAAGTTCTTTTCCTGTGAACGGAGAGATCGGGAAGGCGTGTACACGGTTAGAAGATTGGATAGATAAGAAGGTGCAGTTCAAGTGAGACAGCGGAAAACAAGGCATAAGAGTTCAAACTGGATCCTGAACTCGACTGGAAGCCAGTGGAGAGTGTACAGTATAGGAGTAATGTTTTCATATTTTCCACAAATGTGACAATAGTGATGGGTTGACTAAACTGAGTAGCTTGTATTTAGCAAATTCTGAATCTCAAATTAGTGCTTTTCCCAGTTCAGAATTGGATTGACCATGATTAGGCTTGTGCAAATTCAGCATTGGGCTGACTTTAAAGATAGGCTTGTCCAAATTCAGCATAATGGATTAACTGTCAAGGTAGGATTAGTCCACATTCAGCATTGCACCGAGTTTCGAGATAGGATTAGTCAATATTCAGAAAGACAAAACAGGATTCATCCCAGTTTATGACTGGACCGACTGTCAAGATGAGAAGGTCTAGACACAGACACAATCATTAGTGACATGCTGCAGAAACAGTCTGAAGATTTGTCAACATCAACAACAAGAACCATACTCTATGAACTGTGCCCAGTTCTGCTAGAGCCTACAACATGCTGTTTTTCTTCATCAACATACTGTAAACCATGCATTGAAAGAATGGAGAGAGGAACATAGAACCTTGTCTGACACCATTTCATCATGCCAACTAATAATTTTGCATTTTGTTTAAGATGCAACTCCCAAATCTCTGTAGATGATCCAATCACCATCAAAGAGTTTTAAACTTTGCAGATTTGGAGTGAGTGAGGAAAAACTGCCTTACATCACATCAGCAAATTTTTTCTGTGAGTGCACATATGAATACACTTGGAAGGTGCTCACTCTAACACTAATAGGGTCCATTTCCATTGGCCTGCCCTTCAACAACATATGCCTGGGGGAGTGATTGAGAGAGTGAGTGAGTTTAGTTTTACGCCGCACTCAGCAATATTACAGCTATATGGCGGCGGTCTGTAAATAATCGAGTCTGGATCAGACAATCCTGTGATCATCAGCATGAGCATCAATCTGCTCAATTGGGAAACGATGACATGTGTCAACCAAGTCAGCGAGCCTGACCACACTCTCCCGTGAGTAACCTCTTACAACAAGCATGGGTTACTGAAGGTTCATTCTAACCCGGACCTTCACAGGTCTATGCCTGGGGGAATACATCCCAATTACACTGAGCTGGCATAGAACTATCATTTAATTTCATGACACTTATATAAGACATGGAACAAAAGGAGAATCCCTTCAGAAGATTATTAGAAAAAAGCTGGAAAAGTGATAATGTTTCCATTTTGGAAATTTTCAATTTCTGCAAAAATGATTTGTGTATCAAGGAATCATTATAAGTTTCATAAAAGTACATTCAAACATGCAAATTTGTCCATTAAACCATCTTCAGAGTATATTTGGAATATTTATAGTTATTACACTAAGGGATATCTAACATGTTAAATGGCCAAACATATTACAGGAAACACTGATAGTGACAATGGAGACATTGGGAAACATTTAATCCTACAAACTCTAGAAGTGAATTTGTTAATATTATCTCTTACGACAAGCATGAGTTACTGAAGATCAACTCTAACCCAGATCTTCATGGGTGCTAGCAATTCAGAGCAGGAATAAGTCTGAGTTAGTCTGCTGCTGCAGCTTATGCTTATGTCAATATACCTACCCATAAAATATCTGGCTTACTTATGTAAGAAATCATAAACACTAAAATATCCACCACAAACAGAAGATGATAAATATGAGGAAATATATGTCAATAAATTCTTAAAACCATGAGAGAATCATGCAATCAAGAACAAGCATACACGAAAACCATGAATTTAATAAAATCCCAATCCACCATTCCAAGTGAGAACAAAAGGGAAGTATCTTGAACTCAAACCATCAAAACAAAGATGTGCAAGGAGTTACCTCCCTTTGGTGGGCCAGTAACCTATAATGGCAATACATGCATATGATGAGGGAGAAACACACAAACAGATGGGCAAACTGTACCTGTGGCACCGGTAGTGGACGAGCTGACCTAGAAGGGGGTGGGGGTAAGGGAGGGGATGAAGAGGGTGGGGGGAAATCATCTGTGTCCTCCGAAAAGTCATCATAAATCTCCTGTGGTATCTGAAAGTTGTCAAATACATTGAAATGTACAAGAAGGATACAGATTAGGACATGATCAGATGAATAACTGGATATACATCATACCCTTGTTCAATTATTCCAGTGAGTCCTGGGGTTTAATGGACAAGTGTGTCTTGGGATGAAATGGACAAGTGTGTCCTGGGATGAAATGGACAAGTGTCTTGGGATAAAATGGACAAGTGTGTCTTGGGATAAAACGGATGTGTTTGTCCTCGAATGAAATGGATGAAATGTGTCTTGGGATAAAATGGGTGAGTGTGTCCTTCAATGAAATGGACAAGTGCATCATGGATGAAATGGACAAAGTGTGACTAATGAGATGAAATGGACATGTGTGTCCTGAGATGACAGGTATGACAAAGGCAGCAACACAGGTATGACAATGGAGATGACCATGACTATGACAGATGTCACATTGAAAATGAAAGGTGAGTATGACAATGGCAATGACAGGTATGACAATGACAGGTATGACAATGGCAATGACAGGTATGACAATGGCAATGACAGGTATGACAATGGCAATGATAGGTATGACAATGGCAATGATAGATACAACACAGGTAAGTATGACAGGTGTGACAATGGCAATGAAACAGGTGAGCATGACAATGGCAATGACAGGTATGACAATGACAATCAATGACACAGGTGAGTATGACAATGGCAATGACAGGTATGACAATGACAGGTATGACAATGGCAATGACAGGTATGACAATGGCAATGATAGATACAACACAGGTAAGAATGACAGGTGTGACAATGGCAATGAAACAGGTGAGCATGACAATGGCAATGGCAGGTATGACAATGACAATGACAATGACAGAGGTGAGCATGACAGGTATGACAATGGCAATGATAGATACAACACAGGTAAGAATGACAGGTGTGACAATGGCAATGAAACAGGTGAGCATGACAATGGCAATGGCAGGTATGACAATGACAATGACAATGACAGAGGTGAGCATGACAGGTATGACAATGCCATTTAATGACTCAGGTGGGTATGGCAATGGTGACCCTGGTGGAAATCCACAGGGTGAGAATAAGTGTAACTACAGGACATTCAATACATCAAAACTATATGGTTCCATCAACATGACAATATATATAATTATCATAATAATTACATCATCATTAGAGACATAACATTGTGCATGACAATCAACAAAAGAAGCTTGACAAGAATGTGCATGGAACTTTTCATGGTCATGATGTGCAGAACAATCAACAATACAATGAGACAATTAGTACAATTGTGCGAGTAACAACTGTGATACGCAACTATGCGAAAATAAACTACATCGAGCACCACGTGAGCGTTAACATAGCTGTGATCATGAAGAACCACACCCACAGTACATACGTCAGTTTATGACTTCATCCGTCACATAAGCTTATGACATACAAGCATATAAGTCATACCTCAATGACATAAGTATGCAAATTAGATATGCAGATTAGATATGCAAATTTGATAACCGGAATGTTTTTTTTAGCCAGTGTGAACCAGTGAGAACATATTTTGATTTGATAACTAAATATCAGTGAACTGAAATATCAGTGAGATTATACTAGAGATATAATCAAATGACACAGAATCGATGTTATTGCTGTTATTAAAGATTCAGTTATTCTGCTCAAGTATTTTTTCAAAACAATCTGATGACTGTTTTTTCTCAGCAAATGAATATGCCAAAAATGAGTTAACAGGTCTATTTTTCACATAGCAATGGAAAATATGAATCACTACACAGAATCTATATACGTATGATATCGACAAGCTTCTGATATTAGTTTTGATGCATTTATTTCTTCAAAGGGAAACAGTAATGTGAAAATGTTAAATAGAATTCATCACTGTTTTGGGGGTTTTTTATATGGGAAATATCAACCTTATCCTGTTAATCGGTATTTGCCAAGTTTTTGTCTATTGTAGCTAGACATATATCTAACAGCCCGCCTCATTCGTGACCAACTCATGTTATTCTAAATCAGGCCATATCTCAATTCGGCCCCCTCTCATGGCCTTTTTGCAGTGTGTGAAATAAGCCAAAAACCCAGCCAGACATCTGGGCTGGTAACTTCAAAAACTTACCAGCCCAAGAGAGATTTAACCAGTCCTTCTTAAATACTAAATAGACAGTGCCAGTGGACACGTTATCTGAATATTTTTTTTCACCCATCCATCGGCCTGGCTAGCTGTAAAAAAGCATTGTCACTAAGGTGACATATTCCCCCGCCGCAAATTATCAAATCAAACTTAAAAAGTAATGAAAGTGAAGGTCATAATTTAAGATGAAGTAAACAAAAACATGACCAGTCAACCTCTCTTGATATCTTGCTCTGTAGTTGTTCAAACACACAAATATTTTCAAGACTCACTTTGATCTTGACATGAATGTCTTAGTGTATGAATATGCAAAAATATTAATAAAGAAATTGCTTATTGAAAAACATTCAAGGGAAGGCTTGAAAGTCTATGAAGAAAATCCAGTGAACTGTTCTTGAGATATCTCGCTGACAATCTTAACATGCAGTTTAAGATTTACTGAAATCTTAAAAGTGTCGCCGTGACCTTGAAAATTAAATGAAGGTCACCAAAATCGACTGGCACTTGCACCTTCCCTTGATGAAGCTTGGTGTCAAATATGAAGAAAGTCCAGTGAATGCTTCTTGAGATATCTCGCTGACAATCTTTACATGCAGGTTAACATACTGAAGTCTTCAAAGTGTCGCCGTGACCTTGAAAATTAAATGAAGGTCACCAAAATCGACTGGGCCCTGCGCCTTCCCTAGATAAAGCTTGGTGTTGAATATGAAGAAAATCCAGTGAACGGTTCTTGAGGTATCTCGCTGACAAGGGTAAAACGTTAAAGTCCCCTTGTGACCTTGAAATGAAGGTCAAGGTCACCAAATCTGACTGGGACCTCTCTTTTACTGTGATGAACCTAGGTACCCAATATGAAAAGAATCCAGTCAACGGTTCTGAAGATATTCCAATTCGTACGGACGGAGCCTAATACTATATCCCCCGCTTCGCACTAAACGTGCGGCGGGGAATAATTAGACCGTCCGGCAGAAATCTAGCCCCTCTCGAGCGGTCGGACGGGCCTTATTTCATACACTGCTTTTTGTGACTGGGTTTCGTGCAAGGGAGCATAGCTAAAAGAAACGTCAGTTCGTAAGACTATTCTACGTAATGATTCACGAATTTTGCAGACATATATTACATACATTAGAGATGCTATTTAAAACCAGACGATATACAGTATGATTGAACACAGAACATGGAACATCTTGGGTATATTAAAGAGACATTGCATATGTATAATAAAAATTATTCCCAAAGTAACTTTGACAGAAGGACTTGAAGTCATTTGAACTTTCCGTTTTGTTTGGTGTAATATATTATTTTCATTGGTAGGGGATTCTTCTTGCAAGTTACGGAAAGAGGTGAGTGGTGACAAATGATCCTTCCTTGTGCAATCAATTTGTATAAAAACACAAATGAATTTAACACTCACACCATTTTGTTGATACACGTCATTGTACAGACCACCCTATCTTGTTGATACACATCATTTTAGACAGACCACAGACACACGGAAAGCATTACATCCAGTTTGTGCCTTGGTCATCTGATCATCGTTCTCTTGGTCTCCTGATCAGCATCCCCTTTGTCATCTGATAATAACCCCCTTGGTCACCTGATCATCACCCCCTTGGTCACCTGATAATCATCCCCTTGGTCACCTGATCAGCATCCCTTGGTCACCTGATCAGCATCCCCTTGGTAATCTGATCATCACCAACTTGGTCACCTGATCAGCATCCCCTTGGTCACCTGATCAGCATCCCCTTGGTAATCTGATCATCACCAACTTGGTCACCTGATCAGCATCCCCTTGGTCACCTGATCATCACCCCCTTGGTCACCTGATCATCACCCCTTGGTCACCTGATCATCACCCCTTGGTCACCTTATCAGCATCCCCTTGGTCACCTGATAATCATTCCCTTGGTCACCTGATCATCACCCCCTTGGTCACCTGATAATCATCCCCTTGGTCAAATACACAAAATATTCGACCAACTCGATACATTGCAGACTTGATGGATGTCCTTCTCTATAGTCATGCATACAATATGTACTGAGGATATCGATTTCCCTGAGAAACTACTGCCCCTTAACTTACATTCTGTTCAGTTTGGGCTGATGGTTCTTCATAATTGACATCGTCATCTGATTCCTGAAACATGCATTTCATACAGTGGACTAAGTGAGCTGTGAAAAGTGTTGCATAAGCAATAATACTAACATGCTGCTTTTTCCAAGCTTGCATCTAAACATGCTAAATATGAAAGAGAGCAAAGATGTTTTGTTTATTATTTAACGCAGCACTTAGCAATATTCAAGCTATAAGGTGGCGGTCTGTAAATAATCGAGTCTGGACCAGACAATCCAGTGATTAAAAGCGTGTCTCGCATCAATCTACGCAATTGGGATATAATGTAAAACAGGGAAGTATTTATAGCAATTTTAAGAAAGTTTTAAATATGCATTGTATGTAGTCACATGGCTATGAAATATTCCTACAGAGAACAATGCCTCCAGTCTGGTTAATTTGTTCACTGTTTAACGCCATACACAGCACTATTCCAGCTATATGACGTCAGTCTGTAAACAATCCACTGAGCATTGCTAATGCATGAATCAAGTCGGCAAGCCTGGCAACCTGATCCAGTCAGCCGAGATCTCCTCTTACAACTATCATGGGTTGCTGAAGAGTAATTCTAACCCGGATCTTATATACATGTTACTGTATAAATACTGAAATCCTGGGCCCTGTTTCACAAAGCTATCGTAGCTACGACTGTTGTAACTCCTATACTATCACATAGAGTTAAGACAGTCGGAGCGTTACAACGGCTTTGTAAAACGGGGCCTTGGAATCAACAGAATGAGCAATTTTGGGAATGATTACATCACATAACACAGCTTCATGCTGAAAAATATGTCATGAGATATATCATTGTGTTTTTATTATGGTGGACCCTTCTGACTATCTGAGCTCGAATCATATCTACTGAACTATTAGCCTCCATAAAACATCTCACAACTAAACACAATATCTACTGATCCATTAGCCTTCTGAATATCTGAGAATGAAACACAATATCTACTGAACCATTAGCCTTCTGAATATCTGAGAATGAAACACAATATCTACTGAACCATTAGCCTTCTGAATATCTGAGAATGAAACACAATATCTACTGAACCATTAGCCTTCTGAATATCTGAGAATGAAACACAACTGAACCATCTACTGAATATCTGACCATTAGCCTTCTGAAAATCTGAGAATGAAACACAATATCTACTGAACCATTAGCCTTCTGAATATCTGAGAATGAAACACAATATCTACTGAACCATTAGCCTTCTGAATATCTGAGAATGAAACACAATATCTACTGAACCATTAGCCTTCTGAATATCTGAGAATGAAACACAATATCTACTGAACCATTAGCCTTCTGCATATCTGTGCACTGAATGCTATACCTACTGAATTACTGGCATATGAAATGTCTGAGCACTTAACACAATATGTACTGAAACCCTCTAACCAGTTGTACAAATGAGCCCTGAACATAACACATACTGAACTACTGGGCCTGAACATAACAGGGCCCCTTACATGCTGTGATGCTGAACATTTGAGTCCCTGAACCTAACTGGACAACTATCTAGCTGTTAGGCTCCTGGGCTATACAGTTCTTATGTTAATATCACAACTATCATTCTTGACTTGGTGAAAGCTACATAGACACAAGGTTCCTAAGCTACCAAGTTCCCACAAAGACCTGGGCTTCTGAAAAACTCAATCACAACATAGACACAAGGTTCCTAAGCTACCAAGTTCCAACAAGGCCCTGAGCTTCTGATCAACTCAATCACAACATTGACACAAGGTTCCTAAGCTACCAAGTTCCAACAAAGATCTGTACTTCTGAAAAACTGAATCACAACATAGGCACAAGGTTCCTAAGCTACCAAGTTCCAACAAAGATCTGAGCTTCTGATCAACTCAATCACAACATAGACACAAGGTTCCTAAGCTACCAAGCCCTGAACTAAATAGATACAAGCTTATTTAGCTACACATGTTTAAGTTCCAAAACCAGCTACTGAGCTACTGAGCTACTGACCTGATCTGACATCTCTCCCCGGTACACAAAATGTCCCTGATGCTTTCAAGTAGTGGTACCCTATGAACATCACGTAGGACAACCGTCTGCATCTATGACACCCCAGCTAATTCTGTTGAATTCTCCTGAACTAATTTAGTTAATACCAGGAAGCAGCTACGTGCATCAGTTATTCAAGGTTCTCCATTTCATTCCATTTATCTAAGGAAAGTTTACAACACCTGACTCTTAATTGCCAGATAGTGTTCTTGATCAACACAATAGCATTAGTCAAGCGGAGACAGTAAGGAAAACTAGATGTCTACTATTTCCTCAAATTGTCAAACAAGTAAACGCTCATCATATGAAAAACTAATGCAAGAAGATTAACAAATACCAAAGCTAAACAAGTTGAACCAACAAACCATTTTAATATCCTGCTTGCGAGATCACCTTTGATGAAAATTTTATATCCTTTAAAACATTGTATCTTTATAAAACTGATGTAAACTGTAAAAAACTGAGTCAGGTAAGCAAAGCACTCTCTGCCAAACATTCCTTGGTGAGGTGAGGTGAAATTGGGTTTAACGTCGTGCTTGAGAATATTTCGCTCATATGACGACGTGCATTCGTGTGTATGTGTATGTGCGGCTGCTTGTACTAGCCCAGACTTAAGCTGGTTTTATAGTGCTAGCCCACTGAGATACCATACCGCAGTGAAGCATGAATACCCCACTCAGACACATTATACTGACTCAGAGCCGACCAGTCCTTGCTGTACCCATTAATGCCGAGAGCCAGGCAGGGACCAACAAGTAACATATTTTAACGTCTTTTGGTATGACGCGGTCGGGGATCGAACCCGCGACCTTCCGCTCTCCGGGCTGACGCTCTATCCACTACACCACGGAGGCGGTCAAACATTCCTTGGTGCTGTTGTACAAAGTGATCTCAGTGCTGAAGTGATCATAAGCCACATATACGTGAACCTAACATAGTCGTAGTGCATAGATCGCTAAGAGGCGACATAATGGATTGGGGTGCCGTCAGCGCACGACTGTCATAAGTCAATGTTAAGGCATGGAGCTACGATCAACTTCAGGCTAAGATTGATTTGAACAACAGCACCCTGATTTTACTTATGACTAGCGCAACATACACATATATTTTTGTGTATTTTTTATTAATATTTATTTAAAAAAGAAAGTTGAGCATGCATTGTGCTGACTATGCATTTCTATTGACTGGATGGTGCATGCATAATGCAATAAACTCGGCAAAATGTGTACATGCATTACTTCTGTAATCCATATGATTGAAGCAGTTGATCTTTCTGATGTGCATAAAGTGAATGGCAACATTGAACATGATCCTATTAACAAGGAACAAAAATGATTTTATGCAGACAAAACAAGCACAAAAACAATCTCTCCAAACACCCTGTGCTGTCACATACAACATGAGCCATTTTTTATATTGGTATTATTGCAAAACACAGTGATGGGCATTTTAAATTCTTACCTCCTCTTCTGCACTTGGCTGAAACATTAAACAAAAAACAGTTAAAATAAACACTACCACAGGGCAAATTTTACATGTGCTTTACAGTTGCTTTTCAAGAGTCTGTGTAAACCACAGATGTAAATACACATAAAGTGAAAATATTATCATGATCATTTCTACTGTTATCATTGATCAATTTACCATGGTTACTGTCATACTTTTTATAATCATCATGGTCATTTTAAAATGGTTTAGTACTCTACCAGTTTTAGGAAAAAATAAATTAATAATTTGTTTCAACCAAAGAACATTCTAAGTGTATTGTATATTTATATATTTTACTGTTTTATAGAAACTCATCTCTGTATTCTGTATACATTTACGCGTAACAGCTGTGATTCACTTGAGAATGAATGTTCATTAAGACAATGCAGGGCTTTAATAAAATAAAATATATATAGCAGTAAAAGTGCCCAAGCTAAAACACAACCTTGGGTAATACCCATGTTGTTTTACTATCGTGAATGTTCCATGCATATTTGTAATCAATTTTTTTTCGGTTTAATACAGCACTCAGCAATATTCCAATATAGGGTGGCAGTCTGCAAATAATTGAGTCTGGACGAGACAATCCAGTGACTAACAGTATGTGCATCTATCTATCGAGCCAGTTTGGATACGATGACATGTGTATGCAAGGTATATGTTTGATCAGCCTAAGTAAACTTAGGCTCAGTATTATTCGTTACACTGCTATACTGAGTCTAACAAAACCTTGTGAAAGGTCACGTCAGGTAACCTTTTCAATCGAGACAGTACGGATACGATGACATGTGTATGCAAGGTATATGTTTGATCAGTCTAAGTAAACTTAGGCTCAGTATTATTCGTTACACTGCTATACTGAGTCTAACAAAACCTTGTGAAAGGTTGCGTCAGGTAACCTTTTCAACTGACCAATCAGAACACAGCTTATCAAATCGCGAAAGTTGACATTCACACATACTTTTTGAATGTTTACCTAGAAAAATGTTTGTACCCGAAAAATTCTGAATGCTTTTTTCCGTACGATCGCTTCCTAGTGATGCACATGGTGCACGCCACACCGTGAGTAAACAGTCGCTGAAAACAGCGTTTTGTCAGTATTCAAGGGTGTCAGCTTGCGGAAATATTAGCTAATGATAACCATGTCAACAGAAACCCAAAAGCGTATAATCTGCAGGTCATATATCTGTGTTTTATGCAGGTTTTCATTTGTTGTGAGATCAGTGTTGACGACCGGGGAAGAGTAAATCCATTTTGTAAGTCCCGCCGAACCCGTTTGATTAGACGGTCATAGGTCGCTCAAAGGTTACCTGACGCGACCTTCCACAAGGATTTGTTAGACTCAGTATAGCAGTGTAACGAATTATACTGAGCCTAAGTTTACTTAGACTGATGTTTGATGCGCTGACATTATAAACTGTATCTCACCTGTGGAGGAGGTGGTGCCACCCTTCGTGCTGGGAGTGGTGGCGCCTGAAGAACGGAATCACAGACATGAGATACATTATTCAATAAATAATCATCACGGTTATCACATCATTATCATGATTTTTATCAATATTCAAAGCAAACAGAGAACTGTTGTTTGCAAAAGTTCACTTTTGAGTGCATGTGACCAAAATGCAGTGAGTGAGTGAGTGAGTACAATTTTATGTCGATTATAGCAATATTCCAGCAATATTACTGTGGGGACACTCAAAATGGGCTTCACACATTGTACCCATGTGGGGAATCAAACCCAGATCTTTGGTGTGACAAGCGACTGCCTTAACCACTAGGCTACCCCACAGCCCCCTAAATGCAGTGAAGTAATAACATTTGTCCATTTAAGTCAGGCAATGCAGGCTATAGAGCTCTTGGAACTGAAACACGTCCAACTGCATGAATTGTTCATTAAGCCAACCATATCCTTTTTGGTGTTTCTCATCGCCAAACTTAACCAGCAAGGGAAAGGATGGGCAGAAAAAAATAATTAAAATATAAAGAAAGTATTTTTAATGCCAATTTGTAATTTATTTTTAACAAAATAATTTAAAATTAGATCACTTGATATCCAATTAATTTATGATGTGGATCAAGTAACTTGAAATCAAGTTTTGAAAACAGTAGATCAGAAAGATCAGTGTGATATGTGTTTTTATATGTGCAAAGATAAGAGCACTGTTTTATCACATCAAGAAAACTGAGCTAAGAAAATTGTTTTCTGTTGTATCACGTCGGAATGAAAATTGAGGAAGGACGGGAGGAAACATATGAATATACAAACAACCTAAAGTGAGAAGTGACATGAAAGATGAGAAGACGAGTGGCAAAGTTGTCTGTCACAGAGACTCTTAAACATATATACCCTATATAGCCTATCTAAGTCTAGAATGTGTGGCAAGTCTAGATTTCCACAGTTTCTGAAAATGAAGAAAGTCTCTTGACTAGTTTTTATTATATTTTATAAATCTAACTTTGGAACCATTTTTCTGTAAAGCATGTGGACTTCAGACACTGTTAGTTTAGCAGCAAGGCTGTGTAATGTGTTGCAAGAGAAATATTGCCAATCATCTGATGTAATCTCACGGGGGACTGCAAATGGAAACAGACATTGAATTGATCCAATGGTTAAAACTAGTGTTGGGAATTGGTTGAAATCTCACAATTGATGATTGTTCAATACCAACGACCAATCATCGAAAAAAAATTGGTTAGCGTCATTTTTTAGATTTTCCTATTCAGGTTGTAGTTGCAGATAAGTGTAAAGAAAAAAACATTTGGTTCTCTGGGGTTTTTTTTAGAAACTGCACAAATTACATTTGCAGATTTCACATCCAGTGTAAAATGATTCAGTTCCAATGTAACATTAACTTCCCAGATTCTTCAAGAAATATTCAGTCATGACTTTTCAGAAAGTGAAGTGAGTTTTCTTAGAAATAGACACGTTTTCGGGCCCTGACAACGTCCTAGATATGTTCCATCATCAAGTATTTCAAACTCTATTACAGCGGTTCCAAAATCGTTTCTGTTCGATTATGAGAAAATGTGATCGATTGCTTGGTCATTTGGCCACTGCGACCAATCTTCGATTATTTCAATTAATCGGACGGACCACCACTTTTAAAACTAGCATTTAAACTGAAAGGTTGTAGTATGCATTCGCAGTGGATGGAGAACATAATGTTTGCAAACACTGAATTAAAGATTTAGTAAAAACCACTTACACCTGACTGTCTGCCTGGCGTTGGTAATGCTGCCCTGCTTTTGCCTTTAGATGTCATCGCTGGAAATAAAAACACAATTTGAAAATAACAGAAAATACGCTTAATGATTATGAATGTAGGTTCATTCTATGTGAGGTTGCCCTTTTGTACTGGTGTGTGGAAAAGCTAACACAGACTCCCTATGCAGAGTTACATCCCTTGGGGCTACCAGGAACCTGTGATTGTGGGTTCAAATTGTGGTTTACCCTAAATATGGTTCCAGGTTTGCTCATGAATGCATGGAAGTGGTAAATGTCTGAGACAAGCAAACTCGCTGTCATTACGTAAATTTCACAGTCATCTAACCCATGAAAATGCAGGTTAGAATTGGTCTACAGCAACCTATATTCTTGACATATGAGGTGACAAACAGGACATTCGCTGACTTGGTTGCTGCATCATTGTATACCAATATTGTAGATTGATGCTCATGATGTTGATCACTGGATTGTCTGGTCCAGACTGGATTATTTACAGACTGCTGCCTTTTAGCTGGAATATTGCTGAGTGTGGGGTTAAACAACAATGAAACAAACAAACAAACAAACAAACAAATAAAACTGTCAGAGCAATTTCACCTTTAAGCCCTTGAGATGACCCTTTATCGAAACTAAGTATCTCAGAATACTTTCTCTTTTTCTCCTTTATACAGTCCCTGTCTTTGCTTTACACATGTTTATAGTACAAACCAAGCCTTGTCAATTCCTAAAATAACTTGCCATAACTAACAAAAAGTCATCCTTTGTCAGTTCCTTTGACAATAGCAGTATAGCATATCATAGGTCAGATTTGAGCAACATTATGTCACGACTGGGATATCTTGTCATCATTCATGTGAACTACGACCCAAGGCTGCTGCATAAATTATGGCAAAGATGACTCTTTGCTGTAAGTATGAGTCATAAATATCTAGTGTGGGAAACTTGTAAAATATTTTCGTTCCCGTTTTGTCAGTTGCAACATTAGCACCCATCATGGCTATTATTGTTTAACTGATACTTCAGGAACATCACAATGGAGTTGCTCCCGTTAAGGGCTCAGTCTAGTTCTTTCTGTTTCCCTGATAATTTTACCACTGTGTAATTGAGTACGAATGAACCATGATCCTTTAAAAATAGGGCTTTTGTTAGCATGTCAAAGAAAACCACATAGTTTGAACACAATACAAAGGCATTGATTACATCAGACATGTTCTGTGATTGGTTACAATATTTGATTGACAGATATGGTCAATGCTGCTTGTCACATGTTCTTCTGGGTGAAATTATTGAACAATTGAGAACAGCTTAACCATTCCAACATCCAACCATCAAAACACAATGCCATTGAGAAAGTGGTCAAATATAACATATGTTACATTTGGGATTACACTTTCTTTGTAAAGTATAGATTCTAGTACTTTTATTGGGTTGAGTCCCAGCTGTGGTGGCTGAGTGGGTTAGATTGCTGACTTTTTGTGCTGGCGATTAGGTGCGTGAACTCTGAGGGTGTGGGTTCGAATACCAGATCAGCTGAGAAGATGCCATCATTCGTCACCCACTTGTGTAATTGCGGAACGCCAATTTCGGTTTATAAAATATTTTAAGCTGTTTTAAATAATTATAATAATAATGATGATGATCAACAGACCTGGAGCTCCACTGTACTCATCGTGTTCATTCGGTAGAACAAAGCATTTCCCCACAGATTGCATGTCATCATGGCCAACAGTGAACAAGCTCATGCCATCAATCACCAGTTTATCAGTCTCACCATGTCACATGATGAACATCACATCACCCTAACAACTGTCCAATCCAAAAAATAATTTCTCAGAAATACTAAATACTGATATATTTCGATTTAGCACCATCAGCCCTTCTCTAAAAACTACTGGAATCTGATAGCTGAAGATTCTAGAAACAATAGTAATATTTCCTCAATGGTTTCCTGTTGTTTTAATGTTCCTCTTCATATACCGGAAGATGACACACAGAGGAATGCACCAAAGCAGATTCCGGTCTACATTCATCCCTCTCATGGCTCTGTTTGTTGGTAGTTAGAAGTGTCATGGAGATGTAGTTTATTTCTAACAATGTCGCAGCCGTTTTACATAGTTTCTAGTGTTGGGAATTGGTTAAAATCTCATAATTGATGATTGGTCCATTACAACCGATCAATCATCGAAAATAATTGGTTAGTGTCATTTATCAAATATGTTCCTGCTATCTTTGTTAATGTAGTTCTTTGGGTTTTTTTGCAAATTGCACAAAATGCATTTGCAAATTTCACATATAGTATGTTAGGAACATGAATTTCCTGGAGTTTTTAAGATAAATTCAATCATAACTTGGAATGAGCTTGTAGTGCCTATGAAATGTAAATTTAAAGACACAGACAAAACCGACCTTGTGAAAAATATTGTTGATGCAAACAAGTGTTTCAAAATTGTCTGTGTTCGATTATGAAAAACATGTTCGATTGCTTGGTCACCTTGACCAATCTTCGATTATGTCAATTAATCGGACCACCACTAATAGTTTCAGTGGAATTTCATAACATTACATTATAATGATCATAATTTGTTTTCAGGAATGTGTTACTATTTCATGTAGTGGTATGGAAGATACTATTTTTTTATGCTTTGCAGTCAAGTGTAATCTGGAATCCTCTAGAACAGCTATGGACTAGTTTTCTGAAAGGTATTCAGACTATATAAGCAGGCAAGTACATACCTCTTTCATCACATTACATCAAGACTATTTGTCTCAGACAGTATAAGCAATAATCTACATTATCCTGGTGATCAGGATATGTTTACACACATATACAACCAGGTCTGACCACCCAATACACATTACAGCATATGTTTACACACATATACAGCCAGGTCTGACCACCCAATACACATTACAGCATATGTTTACACATACACACCTATACAGCCAGGTCTGACCACCCAATACACATTACAGCATATGTTTACACACATATACAGCCAGGTCTGACCACCCAATACACATTACAGCATATGTTTACACACATATACAACCAGGTCTGACCACCCAATACACATTACAGCATATGTTTACACACATATACAACCAGGTCTGACCACCCAATACACATTACAGCATATGTTTACACACATATACAGCCAGGTCTGACCACCCAATACACATTACAGCATATGTTTACACACATATACAACCAGGTATGACCAACCCAATACACATTACAGCATATGTTTACACACATATACAACCAGGTATGACCAACCAATACACATATACAGCATATGTTTACACACACATATACAACCAGGTATGACCACCCAATACACATTACAGCATATGTTTACACACATATACAACCAGGTATGACCACCCAATACACATTACAGCATATGTTTACACACATATACAACCAGGTCTGACCACCCAATACACAATACAGCATATGTTTACACACATATACAACCAGGTCTGACCACCCAATACACAATACAGCATACACACTTCTAAGATAGAATCGGGAGGGTTTCATTGAGTCATGGTCACCAGCCTCATGACGAACATCTATGACAGGAAGGAGAAAGACATGATGAATTGACGATGACTTGATGATGTCAACATTGATACAGGCACAGCTGGGACGCCAAACAGCGAAACCACGCCTGTTTTCTTCATCCCAATAAAGCATCGTCAGAGGGCCATTAAATGTCTTAGAGCAGAAACAAAATTCATGTTTTTTAAGATGAACTGCCCTCGAAAATGTCACTTTTTATTTCCACTGTGCCTGTGTAATTCTATCTTAACCTGAGTAGTAACAATGTCATGTGAGTGAGTGAGTGAGTGAGTGAGTGAGTGAGTGTGGTTTAACACCGTTTTTATCAATATTCCAACAATATCCCCATGAGGGACACAAGAAATGGGCTTCACACATTGTACTCATGTAAGACACGACCCATCCACCAGAACATGGCAGATAAAAACTATTGCCTGATGCCCGTGTACAGTAATAATTACAAACGGGACATGCAATGGTCTCCAGCACCAGATCCATTTGGGTAGCCTCTTATGACATGCTAAGATTGCTGTTGCCCTGTTTGGAAGCTGGAAACCACCCAAGATTTTTCTATAATATAGTATATGCCTTAATAGAAATGTGAAGTCACTTCCTAGACCGCTTTCAGGAAACATGTTTCATGGAGATAATGTTTTTAGAATGAGAAGGATTTTAAGTGATAACACCTAAAAGAGACTTCTTTTAAGTATTACAAAGTATATTGTTTCATGTCATCATCATCATCATCATCATCATCATCATCATCATCATCTAATCATTGTTGTTATGGAAGGCATAACCATCCAATCCCAAAGCAAAAATAATTTTACTCAAACTCTACTCCTAAACAATATCATAAAAAACACCAAATATTTCAAAATTATCTGAAAAAAAATCAATCAAGTTCAACCATTTTTATTGTGGAACCTCAAACACTGACAAACTTGGTAATATTTCTTGTTATCATTGCTCAGAGGTGGTAATTCTGCCTCAGGATAATTACCCTTCCTGGTACACAACTTTACGAGAGGCTGGAGCGATACAATCAATGTACACCCAACTTCCTCGTCCTCGCAAACAATTTGTTCACTGAGCTGTTTACAAGCCTCCAAGCAGTACAATGTCTCTTGTGTACAATGAGTGCTTGTCTACAGGTTGACATAATGTATGTAATATGTATTCCTCTACATCGTATTGCTCCAGGTGAAGCCAACACAAACTAACATGAGCAAACAATGTGAGCAAGGCTCACAAATACCGCCGACCGTGACTCCCAACTTCAGCTGTACAACGGTTAATAATGATTATTATTATTAACAAAGATGCAGGAAGTGTTTCAAATTTGCACTTCACCTCTGCTATAAACAAAGAAGCCCTTACACAAATCTGAAAACAATCCATTAAATGATTGTAAAGTTATTAGTTGAACAAATTTGGTGTGGGACCCTTTCCTGAGTTCAAAGGATGTAATTTA